CGTCTCGGCCTCCCAAAGTGCTGGGATTACAGGCGTGAGCCACCGCACCCGGCCTATTGGATTTCTTTTTGTCTTCGGTACTTTCCTTCTTTCGATCTCTACTGTATCAAGTAGAATAACAGCTAGTTTTTAGAGCTGTTAATAAGAGCTCCAGAGGAAGAGCAGATATTACTTGGCTGACAGCAGCAAAACTGTTTCTTTGCAGCAGTGGAATGCGACAATCTCTCCAATATTATCTCTATGTGAGAGTTCAAAAAAGTGCAACATTCACTGGTTTCTGTAGTGTAGCGGTTATCACGTTCGCCTCACACGCGAAAGGTCCCCGGTTCGATCCCGGGCGGAAACAAGCGTGCTATTTTCCCTCACACGAGCACTGAACCAGCAATTCTGATTCCCTTCCTTCTCTTCCGACTTCCTACTGCCTTTTAGAAATTTTTATGGTATTTAAAAACTGATTTCAAAATAAAAAATTTAGGCTGGGCACGGTAGTTCACGCCTATAATCCCAGCACTTTGGGAGGCAGAGAAGGGTGGATCACCTGTCAGGAGTTTGAGACCAGCCTGGCCAACGTGGTGAAACCCCATCTCTGCTAAAATACACAAATTAGACTGGCGCACTTGTAATCCCAGCTGCTTGGGAGGATGAGGCAGGAGAATCGCTTGAACGCTGGAACTGGAGGTTACTGTGAGCCGAGATCGCGCCACTGCAGTAGAGCTTAAGCAACAGAGCGAGACTCCGTCTCAAAAATAAATGAATAAATAAAGGAAAAGAAAATTGCAAACTGACAAAAGTTTGCGTTGGCCGGGAATCGAACCCGGGTCAACTGCTTGGAAGGCAGCTATGCTAACCACTATACCACCAACGCCATGTCGGGGAAAAAGTGTCTCCGTATATCCTTAATAGGGGGAATCATGGGCTTGGCTGAGCGATACCAAGTCACATGGGGGTGTTTCTCCCTACTGCACCGGAAGATGTCGCTCTTGGGCGTTCTGCGCCGTAAGCCGCCGGCGCCGCTCCGTGAGCTCACCCCCCAGCGCCGCGGACGTCTTGGTACGTGCCTGGAGGTGTCCAATCCCAGGCCGCCGCCTGGGCCGCTCGACTTCCGGGTCAAAGGGGCCTGAGCCGGCGGGTCCCCAGTGTCCGCCACCGCTGTCGTCCCCCGCGCCCGCCACTTCCGGGGCCGCAGTCCCGGGCATGGAGCCGCGAGCGTGAGGCGCCGCTGGCCCCGGGACAGCCCTGCCCAGCCCGGCTGCCGCCCCGCGCCCCGGTGAGCATCGCCCGCGCGCCTAGTCCCGCCCCGGCCGCGACCCTGAACCCGCCATTGACCAGCCCCGCCTCGGCTCTGACCCTGCACCCGCCATTGCCGGGCCTCCCCGCACTCTGGCGCCGCCATGCACCCGTCCCTGGGTCCCTCCGGCTCCCTGCCTCGTTTTCCCTCCGCCCTGGGCCCCCCTCCACTTTCTTTCCCTCCCGGATTCCTGCGCTGGCCAGGCCACCTCCCAGTTTCTCCCCTTCCCGGCCCGGCCTCCCCACCCATCCCGTTGCTGCCCAGGCCACCCGGCTCTGACCCCTTCCGAGGGTGACCGCACCCAAGAACGCCCTCGCTGCTGCAGATCTTGACACCCTCTCCCCTTCCGTGAGCCCCTGGAGTTCCCGATCTCCCTCTCCCCATGGAAACGCTGTGTGTGCACAGAGGCCACTTCTCTGGACCTGCATCCTGCCATCACCCCTTTACCCCTTCCCCCCACCTTCGCCCCAAGGCTTGGTCTCCCCCGACCCAGTCCTGATCCTCAGCCCCACTTAATCCCAGACTCTATTAAGGGCATCTAGAGACCGGTTTTCCTGCCGAGGCGTTGGTGGTGTGGTTAGCATAGCTGCCTTTCAAGGGGCCGGCCCACAGGGTCCAGCCCCCTTCTCTCCCGTCTCTGGCCTGTCCAGCCGCCCACCTTCTTCCCACGCAGCCTTAGGCCAGCCCTGACACTTCCCTATCCAGGCTGCCTCTGAGCCATTGAAAGTGGGCTATGCCCTTCGCCCCCACCCCCTGGTTTTTCCCTGGGGCTCCCTGAGGAAGTCACTTGCCTCCGCGGCAAGAACCAACCTGCTTTCGAGTAGCTTGGGACTAAAGCCCAGGAGGTGTGTACTGTAGGCACCAATCCCTGCATTCCTCGGCTGGGTCCCGGGGGAATCGGGATGGCTTCTCTCCCAGATTCTGTCCAGGGCATGGAGGCAGTGCTGCAGGGCTTCGAGGCAGAGCTAGAATGTAGCCAGGTAGAATCAGGCCTGGCAGTCTGCAGCTTCTGAGTGGAGGGGGGACTGAACGGCTGGCCCGTGCTTTCATTAACCTGTCACTTTCATGACACATTTATCCTATCAAGGTCTGTGTCCCACACCTGCAGCTGGAATGGAGGTTCTCTGGACCCTTTAAAAGGTCAGTTGTGCTGGGGTTTGGCAGCCAGTAAGGCTGGGGTGGGGGCTGGTGGGATTCCTTTGCCTGCTGTAGAATACAGGGATTGGCAGGAAATGGTTTTTTGTGGCCCTGGGTCGTTGTCTTCCCCAGGGCAGTGGCTGCAACTTTCTGTGCACCCGCTGTAGGCTTTTATTTTTACCCCTATACCCCTCTAGCTGCCCCTGGGAGGGAGTTTCTGAAGGGTTCTGGGAGAGAAAGGGGGGAGTGCTGATTTCAGCAGGATTTGGTGGAGGGGTGGCAGTAACCCCTACGCTGTCTGACCTGATCAGTAAATGGTGAGGATTCTGGCTCGAGTTTCTCCCCCTTAGATTCTTAGAGAATTCTTAGAGAATCCCCCTTAGCTGGATTCTCCCCGTTCGTGTGGTTTTGAGTAGTTTGTTGAGTTGACATGCTACCTGTCAACTGTGTATTAAAAGCTGTATGTGTGTGGTCTCATTTAATCCCGTCGGTGGCCCCAGGTGTAGATACTGTCATCCCGTGTTCTCTCTGGGGAAGTGGAAGCTTGGAGAGGTTCGGTGACTGCCCCAGAAGTGGCAGAGTTAGGATCTGAACCCCTCTCTCTGACACCAGAGCCCATGCTTTCACACTGGACTGAGAGTGCAGCCAGTGCTGCTTTGTGGTAACTTTACACCTAACCTCTTCCATTAGATGTGAGACGGTCTCAGTCTGTCGCCCAGGCTGGAGTACAGTGGTACAATTTCGGCTCACTGCAACCTCTACCTTCTTGATTCATGTGAGTCGCCTGCGTAAGCCTCCTGAATAGCTGGGATTACAGGCTTGCACCACCATGCCTGACTCATATTTGTATTTTTAGTAGAGACAGGGTTTTACCATGTTGGCCAGGCTGGTCTTGAACTCCTGACCTCAGGTGATCCACCCTCCTCTGCCTCCCACAGTGCTGGGATGACAGGTGTGAGCCACGGCGCCCAGCAGCCGTTTCTTCTTTCAGCCTTTGAGGAACTGCCTGTCATGGGACCTGGCTTACCTGAGAAGGTAGTTGGGCATCAACCACACAAGGGGTTCCTTTGACTTTACACGAATCCAGGAAAGGACAGCGGCTCATTCATTCAACCTGAAATGCTTTTCAAGGGCCAGGCACTGTCTGGGTTCAGGCAGTCTGCTGGGACCAGGACAGATGTGGCCTGCCCCGTGGAGCTGACCTTCCAGTGCTGAGTGCCCCCTCACCCGCAGCGGGGTTTCTCAGCCTTGGCTCTGTGACATTTAGGGTTGGCACAGTAGGGGGTTGAACAGCATCCTTGGTCTCCACCAGCCACGTGCCTCCCTGCACCGTCCCAGTCGTGGTAACCAAAACTGTCCCCTGGGGGGGCCCGTTATCCCCAGGTGAGGCCCCCTGGGTTAGGGAATACCGTGGACCCCCCAAGAGACTCCGTGTCTCCTGATCCTCTGCTCAGGTCCCAGGAGGCTGCACACATTGAAATCCTCACCCTGAATGGGGAGAAAGGAGGAGAATCCCAGGAGCTGAGGGTCCCCCATTTTAGAATGCTGATCCCATGGGAAGTTTATCCTGGTATTAATATGAGCGTTGGAGATGAACGCAGGTTTCTCCCCAAGTAATGGATGCAGGGGTCTCCGGCTTGGCATTGCTGAAATTTGGGGTGGATCTTTACTTCTTTCTCTGAAGAACTTTCTCTAGGGTGGGTCCTCCTGGGCACTGTGGGGTGCTAAGCTGCATCCCTGGGCTCCACTCCGTGCCAGGGGCACCCCAAGTTGTAACAGCCATAAACATCTCTGCACATCACCCAGTGTCCCCTGCGGGGGAGGGGCGAATCACCCCCAGTTGAGAACCACTCTCCCAGGGGAAGGGGAGCACAGGAACGATGGTCCAGGCCATCTTCGTGTTTGGGTGTAGCGATGGGCCAGTCAGGTAGCATGTTCAGATGGGGCGCTCAGGAAAGACCTCTGAAGAGGTGATCTCAGCACCTGCAGGGTAAAAAGGAGCAAGTCATATCCAAAGCAGGGAACTGGCATTTCAGGCGGAGGGGTATGCCGTGCAGACCGCCATGTGCTGGGAAGGAGTGGGTGTGTCGAGGGACAAGAAGGCTAATGTAGCCAGAGGTCACAGTCAAGGGCAAAGTAAGAAGCCAGGGTCACCAGGGCCATCAGGAAGCATCCACAGTGAGGAATTTTGGATTCTTCTGTTTCCAGCAGGTGCCCTGGGGTGGTTTCCCTGGACTCACTTGAAATTCCCAGGGAATTTCACAGAAACCTCCTGTTGAGAAAGATTCAAGTCTCTGGCAAATGCCGCAGAGCCTGAAGCATCCATCATTGCGTCACAATGCGCTTGGCCTCAGGGTGCTCCTTGGAGGCTTGGAGGGCGGCCTGGAGACATGGGGAGGGGGTGACAGGGGCAGGAGAACCCTCTCCCCACCTGCCCAGGTGGCAGCCCTGTGGTCTCTCTTCCCGCTCACCTGCAGGCACCCCTGCCCTCCTGAGGTCAGCTGAGCGGTTAATGCGGAAGGTTAAGAAGCTACGCCTGGACAAGGAGAACACCGGAAGTTGGAGAAGGTGAGCCTGGCCTTGGAGGCCCTGATGAGTGGGGACGTGGCCCAGCTTCCGGAGTTCCCCAGTGAACTGAGATCTGGAAGGCCCCTTCTATCCCTCTCCCCTGGCTTTCCCCACACATCCCCATGTCCCTAAGGCTGTTCTGGTTATTTCAAAGCGAGGAGGCGGCATGGCCTTGTGCGGGGTCTCCCCTCAGCACTGTCGGCATTGGGGCTGTAGTGTTCTCTGGGGCGGGGCTGTCCTGGGCGCCGCAGGGTGCTGAGCAGCGTCTCTGGCCCCCACCCACTCCATGCCAGGAGCTCCCTCAGTTGGGACAACCACCAAGTGTTTGCTGGGGGCAGAATCACTCCTGGGTG